CCTAGCTTTGAGGCATTGACCGATCGTCTTGTTGGCAACAGGCGTATCTCCATTGATCGGCGGACGATGTCCGTCCTTCTTGGTCGTGAACTGAGCCGTAATCGACGACGCTTTTGAGTCATCGTTGAAATCATCTTGGGCTGGCTCAGGGCCGCCCACTTCATCAAATTCGTCCGCGAGGTTTCGCGATAGCGACTTCACGCCACCACTCTTCGTCACGAACATTTCTGCATCTTCAGGGAGGTCTGGCTCCTGTACGGGTGCCTTGGTGGACGTACTCGTCCTCATCCTGGGCATCGGGGTCAAACACTGAATCACTGAAGCTGACCGTACGCTCGGGCGTCACCAAGTCGTCCGTTCCAGGGGTCTCGAAATCATCGTGACCACCACTTCTCGCCGGCGTAGCTGGTACCGCCATACTTGATAAACTTGGTTGGGCGAATGAGAACAAGGCGAGTAGATGGGCGTGCGCTGCTTTACCTGTCCGAAAGCCAAACAGCAGCGAATACCGTCAGACCAATGACTATAGACCTGTCGTGTTGGGAATCCACGATTGACAATTACTCCGTTCCCTCACTCCAACAATTGTTGACTCCAAGAGCCAACGAGAACGGGATCGAATATATCTCGATAGTCCCCGAGTCGATCCCTTCCAGGCTAGCGTTGACTCAGTTCCAATTGTGATTCGCCACTATAGGTCATCCCAAATATCAGACGTCCTTGGCCACGAGCAGACCAATACGCCTTTCCTCACACACTTGAACTCTGCCAGTCCTTCAGTAAGGAAGGTACGTTGGCTTTTCAGCTATAGCAGAGTTGCCGGGCACTTGCACCGGCTACAAGATTCACTTGGATAATACTCCAAGACTGACGGATATTCGCCAGCTAACACTTAGATCAACCTCACACAAACGCTTCTTGGATTGACCTTGGCGGGTGAACCGGAGTATCAATCTAGTTCACCAACAGACATGTATGCCACGCAAAGCGGCTGGGTCTCTTGGACTTACCCAAAAGAAGCCTTAACTTCAGGTAGCAAATTCTGTTCTGTTCTCCGCCCTTCTGGGCGTTAATTTTCATCCTAATTCCTACTATGTAAGTATACCAATATCAAGTATAAATGCGACCAAGCTACGAGATCTAATAACGGTCGACGACTACTCGACCAATCACTAGGCGAAACCTCCACTAAGTGCGGATCTCAGCCGGGTGTTTCAGCGGATATGTCGTGTATTCCACACCACTCCCGAATAGTGACCAATGGTCTCTATCGGTGGCCGTGTCATTCTTTGATGGGCCGACGAGGACTCGTCATGAGTTGTAGTCCACTAAGTTCCGAATTGTGTGAGCCACTTATCGGGGACGGGACTTAACGGTAGCATCCGAAAGTTCCCTCATCAGTCTCAACTGAGAATCGCAACACCACATCACTCAGAGCTATGCAATCATTTCCGGGAAGTCTGAACTATTATAGCCGATTTATTGAAGACTACGCGATCTACGCGTCAATTCTGTATGAATTGCGAGAAATCGGCTTTGCGGCGATGGCGAAGGAGGCTAACCGAGCGCGGATCCAACAAGCACTGGAAGTAGAAGACGCAGATCAAGGATCGCAGTAGGATCGGGGTGTCGACCACCGAAGGACCTTGGATCTGGAGGCGCCCGACCCTATCGAGGTGGATCCGCGTTGGATCCATGCCCTTCGGTCCTTCAACGTGCTTAAAACTAGGATTGCTACAACTCCAATCTTACGACACTTTGACCCAGATCGGAAGGGCACAGTGGTGGTGTACGCTAGCGACTGGGCCATCTCGGGAGCCTTGATGCAAGAATACGACCAGATCTACTCCCCATGACGTTTACAAGCCGTACTCTGAAGTCGAACGAGCTAAACTACGGCATCGCGGAGAAGGAGGTACTAGCCCTTCTGAGGATCTTGGATCTGAATTACAATGCGTTGGTCGGGCGTCCGATCCACGTGTTGACCCGACACTCAACATTGGCGTGGCTTTTCAGATCCACAGCCTTACAAGGACGCTTAGGACAGTGGGCCGCTCTGTTGTCGCCTTGGACACTTGAGATCACCAAGTGTGTCAAAGGAGAGGAGGAGATCTTGGGAGCATTGGCAGCCAGTATTACCCCTAGATCAGAAGTGGATAAGGCGTTGATCTCAATCGCCCCCAAAAAGGAGCCGAGACGTAAGATCCAAGCTCCGATCCTCACTATCAGACGAGATGGGGAGCTATATGTCGTCAGTTTCGATGGATCAGCCCGTGTCAAGAGAGGTGGAGGCGCCTACAGCTCGATCCTGTGGAGGCTACCCGAACGGAGGGTGGTGAAAGCTAGATCAGGGTATGCCGAAGGCTTGACGGTGAATGAGGCAGAGTACCATGGTTGTTACTATGTCTGGATCTGTTGGAGGATCTGAATCCACAGCGTCTGGTGATCTGCGGAGACTCAAACCGGGTGATCCGACAAGTACGAGGAGAGATCTATTGTAAGGCGCCAGGTCTGACACTGTTACGTCAGCGAGCCTTGGATCGACTACGTACGTGGACGTAGGTGGCCAGATCATGAACTATTGCACGTCAAACGAGACTGGAATAGGAGCGCTGACAGCCTAGCGACTGCCGCTCTGCAACGACAATGTGGGATCGAGATAGAGTCTGATGCAGAGATCCAGGATCTCATAACGTTGAATCGGTTGGACGAGATCCTGATAGTGAAAGTCGAAGAAGAAATCGTACAGTTACCAGCGGTAACGACCCGATCTAAGGCTAGGTCGGGAGTGCGTGTGGGATCTGATCCAGACTCCCTACGAGAAGAAGCCGTGAGAGAGCTACGGATCGAACGGATCCGACGAGCGCAGGACGAGGAATCGTGGATCATGGGCTTGAAGAAGTATTTGGTCGGGGAGATCCGCGATCTGACACATGAAGAGGCTAAGATGTTAGGATCTATTGCCATGAATTACGAAGTGGATCAGCTGGATCTGCTCTTCTATTGCCCGACATCTAAGGAAGCGGCTGCAGATCGAGATAAACTGATGCGACTAGTGATACCTGAGACGCTTCATACCTGAGACCCTTAAACAGGACATTTTACACCATTATCACACGAATCTACAGGGTGGTCATCAAGGGGTCGGTCGCACCTATGATCGGATCCGTGATCACTTCCACTGGAGTGGTCTGTATAAGAGTGTACAGCGATATGTGGGGGAATGTGTCGACTGTGAAACAGGCAAGGGAAAGACTCGGATCCAGGACGAATCACCCGGTAACCTTCAGGCAACGTACCCATTTCAGATCATTGCCATGGATCACATACCTTCATTGCCTAGATCCTTCAACGGCAACACCGAATTGCTGATCTTCGTGGATCTATTCTCGGGATATGTGATCGCCAAAGCCAGCGCCTCTAGATCCGCTCAGACAATTGCGGAGACCTACGAGGAATGTGTCTTCCGTCGATTTGGTGCGTGCGAGGTGATCCGACACGACCGGGAGCCTGGTTTTATGTCTGATTTCTTTAAGTCGTTCAACAAGATCCTGGGACTGCGCCAACGGGCTACTATGGCGTATCGACCCCAAGCTAATGGATCTGCAGAACGTATGGTCCAGACAACTACCAGAGCTCTTAAGATGTATGTGGAAGATCTGGATCAACGAGACTGGGACGAGTATGCAGAACGACTCACTTTCGCGATCAATACTGCAAGAGATCGGATCCAAGGTGAAATGCCTTTCTATATGATACACGGCTGGGATCCTAGATCTACCCTGGAAGCTGTGATCCCGGTGGGAAGTACTCGCAGACACGATCGAGATCCAAGAAGATAGCGATATCGGATGCAAAAATATTATCAGCAGGCCAGAGAACAAGTGAACCAACGATTACGTGAAGCGATCGCGGATCGGGCCGATACGCATAATGATCTAGCTCGACCTCATCCTGTAGAGCCCGGATCAAGGGTCTGGTTATACCTAGATCGAGTGCGTGAAGGTTATGCAAAAAAACTGGCGCACTTATGGCATGGTCCATTCCGCGTTGCTGAGAAGATCGGAGAGTACGCTGGAGGTTGGACATAGTAGGATCTGCATACAGCATTTTCCCGGTAGTGCATGTATCTAAGATCAAACTGGTCAAGGCATTCCCAGATCGACCAATAGCTCGTCGGAATGGCTCAGAAGAAGATCGGATGGACTTCGATGAAGCTCTCCTACCTGAAGATAGCTGGATCCAAGATCGGGATCCGGGTGAATACGAAGTGGAGCGAATTTGCGACATGAGAACTGGCAAGAGAACGAGGTATGGCCGGATCTATCGTGAATTTCTGGTACATTGGCGTGGATATGAAGATCCGACTTGGATAGACGAGGCAGACCTCAACTGCGGTGCTCTTCTTTATGAGTTCTTGCGAGATCGCGCTAATCGCAACCGTTTCGGTGTGATGCAATCTCACGAGGAGCTGTGAGATCTGGATCCACACTGGTGAGTTGGTCACTAGTGTGGCTGAAAGTTGATGGATCTGCAGGGAGGTTGCATGTCGGAGGACAGGGGTTACGTGATTTTGTAAATGATGAAGTTGATGGATCTGCAGGGAGGTTGCATGTCGGAGGACAGGGGTTACGTGATTTTGTATATGATGATATGTCGACAGAGGATCGAAGTGGAGCGAGATTGATTTTGAGAGACAGATGGAGTAAGCGAAGTTGAATTTCGATTATGGATCTAAGACTGTGGTACGTGAGAGATTATGGATCAAAGGGCGAATGACAAGCATAAAGGATATCGGTGAACACAGATCCGAAAAGAAATGACATGTATTACGCTTAAACGTAGATGATCTGAAGAGAGCATAAGGAAAGATGTCAGGATCAAGACTGAGGAGCGAGAGGTGGCGCGTTAGGATTCAGAGCCGCCATGTTGAAGAATTTACCGGCGAGACGAGCGATCCGGCGAGCAGGGTGACCTGCATGATGCAGTCGGTAATGAGTACGCCACGGATCCGCGGCGTCACACTCAGCGAGGGCCTCGATCAGGTTGGCGGGCTCACGACGATTCAGCTGGGGATCGGCGATGTTAGTACTGCGAGCCTCGATCCCGGAATACCAAGCCACCTCGTCCGTACGCTTGGGGGAGTGAAGGAAATATGGATCCAACAGCAGATCCAGATCACACCAGCCTTCACGCATCACGATCCATAAGAGATTTAAGATTTGCTTCCACCGAGCACCCGCATGAGACCGACGGTTCTTCCGCTCCACGACGAAAGTGGCCAAGTATGGATTGCTACGGATCAAAGAGGATGGAACTGGAAAGCGATGCGTGCACTCTCAATAGGCGATCAGATCTTGGAATTCCACCGCAGAATATCTCTCGATCAGGAACCCCAAGCGACCATCGACCGTGATCTCGAACGACATGGGCTCGGGGATGTTAGCACCAGTGAGAACATTCCAGGGAAGGGCAGCCATAAGATCACGGACGTTTTGGCCCGTGATCAAGTGACTGCAATACTGGCCTGATCTTGCAATGGCGGCCCGAGGAAGATGACTGGGGAAGATCCACTCAGGACGAAATGGTAGCAAGCGAGACAGCACTTCCAAAGTCATCGTCATGATCATCAGAGTATTGATCCGTTGGATCACCCACGGATCCACGTCCGCAATGTTGTACTGACGAGTCTGTTGGCGGCCAGGGATACATACGTTATCGGGAGCGAAATGTTGTAGGGGAATCATTGTTGAAACGAGGGGCATTCCAGCTGGATCCACAGGAGATCCGCCGCCCCCACAACCGCTGCCACCGCTGCCGTTGCTTGAACCATCACCGTCTGAATCACCGTCTGATCCAGAATCTCCAGCGCCTCCAGCTCCGGTACGCCTAGGAGCAGCGTGGTCGCGACGCCTCTGCTCGGATCTAGATCGAGAGAGAGCCATGAGCGTCTGAGCTTGTAGCATGTCGTTCAGTGACTCGTCGTCATCGCCGTCGGCCGAAGTGTCTGCCTCCGACTCTTGACCTTCTTCCTCTAGACACGTGTCCTTAGAAGACTTAGGATCATCCGTTGATCGAGATTTGGACTTGGGCTTGGGTTTGACCGCAGGATCCAAGCTTGCCAGGGTGCCGGATTTCTTGGATCCATTTTTCTCGTAAGACAAGTAGCGCGGCTCGGGGGTTGGAACAGGACTCGCAGCCCCGCGATCCTTCTCCAACATCTTGTCGAGTATAGGATGGTCTGGATCCGAAGGTTTTTCGACGTCCGATCCCCCACCCATGTCGTAGTCGTCTTGATTTTCCTCGCGATCCAGATCCCTTTTATGATCTTCAGTCATCGGAGCTTTCGCTTGGAAGGACGATCCACGTCGCGAGAAGGGGAAAGATCACGGGATCTCTTGCTGGGTGGAAGATCCTGATGTTTGTCCTTGGAAGAAGACACATCAGACCCGTTGGGCGTGGGTGTGTAGTCGAGATCCTTGCGCCGATCCTGATCAGACTGGTCGAGCTTTGAGTTTCCTTGATCCGACATGTCGTGATCTGAGCTCTCTTGACTCGGTTGATCCTCAGCTGACTTGTCGCGATCTCCACTTTCCATACTTTTGTTGTCCTGATCTGAACTCTCTTGACTTGGTTTGTCGTGATCCGAGGTTTCGTGATCCCGCTTCTCTTGATCTGGCTGCTATCGAGACAAAGTTTGGTCGTTGGAGGACTTGATCCCATCCCAGCGGCTACCGTGGACAACATTTCCAGCGTCCTCCGCAGTTCGCGCCGCAGATCTGTGCGTTCTTGATCAAGGTGGGCCAGTTGTCGACTTGACTTCAATATCTGAGCTTTTGCTCCGTGATCGACCGCTCAGCGTCGGCATAAGCAGTCCGAGCCACAGTGACATCACGTTCTGCAAGAAGAAAAAGGATATTTTATTAGCGAAATGAGTGGATCTAGATCAAGGGAAAGGAAACGTACTCAGATCTTCGCTCGCATCGCGATATCCCTTCTCGCGCTTGACTGCGCCAGCCAAATTGACGCGTGCGACCTCGTAGCGCGATTTCGTTTGTTTAAACTCCACCGTTAGATCTTGTATCTGGACGCGAAGTGCATCCGCTTCACGATCCATCGACTGGACCCTCACGTTTAACGAGTCGCGCTCAACTGAGACTTGATCAAACCATCCTGGCGCGCTATGTCATCTGCCGATCCAGCTTGGCCTGAAGATCCGATGAAGATGGATCCGGCGAAATCACAGCCGCGACTTGGCGCGCGACCAACAGATCGGCTTCAGCCCGATCCAAGGCCTGACAGGGCAGCACTCCCTCAGTGACCTGCAATTGGTGTGTGGCTTGATCTCGGGCGCGATCCGCAGTATTGCGTTGCTCTTGCAGATCCAGGACCTCCGCGCCTGCATATTCACGCTCCTGCAGAAACCGAGTCACCTGAGACTCCAGATCCGCGACAAGTTGCTCAAGGGAGCGAATGTGGGTGGCGGATGCATGTGGATCTGGGATCGTTGGGCCGTGGGAGTTGAGCGTGGCTTGGAGTGTGTCCCGATCCGCGCGAAGACCGTTGATCGTCTGCTGCATGAAGGCGATCGCTTGATCTTGCTCACGGATATAATCGCGAAGATCATCCAGGCGATCCAGGTGCTCCACGGACGGCGGATCCGAGCCGCGAGGCAGG